CCATAGTAATGAAGCTAACCTGTCGTAAGAGTTCGAAGACTACGGATCCGAACCACGACGTCATTCTGTTTCAGGACTGTATATGGACCATCCGAAGGTGACTGTAATTTAGGACTCTGAGTCCTTTTCGTTTGAATGGGTTCCACAACCACACCTTGTCTCCTTTGTTGGATCTATGTCCAGTAGCTCTTGTTGTCGCATCTGGTCTTCATTTTCTTTCTTTCTCCGTCGCCAAGTTGACTCGCTTTCGTGCGGAAACGGTGCATCCCCTCAAACCGGGCCTGGGACATCTTGGATGTGTTCCTCAGGCGATGAAGGCGCATCCGTATGGCGACTAAACAGGCGGTCACAAGGCAGACGAAGGTCTCGACCGAAGAGCATCTGGGATGGAGAATAGCTGGTAGTCTTGCGTTTCTTTTCGACCCTAGTATGATTTCGGCAGCTTCCCGAGCTGGGATCTTTCGGACAAGGCGTCGACATTTCCAGCGAGGATCCTTTTGAGGATGGATAGTCATGTCATCAGATGCTGAAAGCAGCTTTTGTTTTTGAAATCTAAGGAAAAATTGTATTTCCTTAAAAAGTCCAATCCGAGTATGCATGGATCTGTAATATCCGCCACATATGCCGTGTGATGGTAGGCGGCACTTCCAAACGTGATGTTTACGTTTAACTTCCCAGTTATGTCGATCTTGTCACCAGACGCAGTCTGAAGGGTAACACAGGATGGCGTCCAAATAAGTTTATCTTTAAACTGTTCAGCTAAATCTTTCCTAATGATGGTAACATTAGCTCCTGTGTCAATGATCATATTGCAAGGAACTCCATCGATATTCCCATTGATGGACAGTCCGTTACTGTTGCCACTCACTGTAGAAATTCTTAAGCGCTTTAAAACAGGGTTTTTCATTATCTGGCAACCTCCGTTCCTTGATATGGTCATTAATTTGTTTCCTGCGTCGTTGCTGATAAATTGTCTCAATTTTCGTACCCTGGGGGTGTTCTGCAATTCTTTCGTACGTGGCCTTCAGCTCCACAGTTCCAGCACTTTGGTTTCTTGTCAGTCCTTTTTTCGTCCCGTGGCATTTAATTGTCTGTTTAAATCGTCTGCCTTATTTCCGTGCTCTGGGGAGTTCTGCAGTTCCTTCGTAAGTGGCCTTCAACACCGCAGTTTCCAGCACTTTAGGTCGGTTTTTTTCCCCACTATTCCGTCTTCAAGCATTCACTTGGTCTTGTCAACTCATCTGTTTTATTATCCGTGCCCTGGGGTGTTCTGCAATGCCGTCGTAGGTGACCTTCAGAACCACATTCTCCAACATCTTAGAGCCACTTTGTTCTCACTCCTACTCCGTATCAAAGCATCGACTTGTCTGGATAAATCATCTAAACGAGCCATCATTGGTCCCCTGGCTCGTGGACTCGCACAGCTCTGACTGGGTAGCTATCCTAAGAGTTGCTTGCTGGGCTGCCTCAAATTTCATGGCATACAACTAAGCGCTTTTTTCAATCTTTAACATCCGCCATTCGCAGAGCTTTCTGTATTTCAGGGTCCCGGATGCCATCGATGAAATATTGCAGGACAGGATTTCCCTTGTTTCTGTCGGGCACTCCGAAAAGGCGTGATGTGACAGCCTTTCAACAGCCGTGGGGCGAGCTCCTGAACGTGTTTCGGTGGGCTTCTGTTGACGGATTTTAATTGGAAGCCTGCTGTAGTCTTTTAAAACATTTCTCGCCAAAGTGCAGCTCCAATGCGCCGGATAGAGCTTCGAAATCAAGTCCTTTGGTTTTCGGGAAGCGTCTGCAGTATATCCGCTGCGTCTGCTCGCAGAGAAGCGGCGAGATGACAGGCCTTAGCTTGGGAATCCCATCCATTCGCATCCGCAACTATAGAAATTGGGTCTTATACACTTGCCAGGATGTCTTCCCATCATATGTGGATAGCTTCAGAGTGGACGAGCAGGCATCGGTAGAATTTAAACATCATCATTCTTGCTCCCTGCCGTCGCTACGAATTTCTTTAAACGTTTCCATTTCTTTGCACTTCAGAAACTCCTCATCAATTTGTTGTTCGATTGGTGTTGGAACGCACAAACTCTTCCTTATTCGTTTCCTCCACAGCAGAAACTCCTTCTATATGTTCTTTTACAAGAAACTCTTCTTCTCTTTTCTTCTTTCACCGAAGAACCTTTCTTCAAGTCCAACTTTATTTTCAACTGTTCAATTCTGCCTTCCATAGCTTCAAATTTATTTTCTATTATGCAGGAATCTCTCTTTTCATTCTTCTTGACGGCTTCAATCTTTTCTGACCAGCTTGAACGGCTTTCATTTTCGTCCTTAAACATTTGACGGCCCCTTCCATCTTTCCTTGCTGATTTCATCTCTCTTTCATTTCTTCTTCTTTAAACGAGCAAAGGCTGATCAATTGCCTTAACTGCTCTTCCATCGCTCTTTTATTGGCATCAAACCCCACCTGACACCAAAAATTGTTGCGTGCGTACGGATTCTTTACTAAATGAATGCACAAGTCCGATGAAAAATGAACAAAAATTTATTATTTCACAACAAAATGCTTAATTTTTCTCAAATTATCACGCAGTATTACAATATCTCACAGTAGTGTTTCTTTAACTACTCAAATGTCCATAGAACGTATTCAAACAGCTAAAGAACGCTAATCCGCGAATATCGCTACAATCAACAACATAGTTTTCTAAACAACAACTAACAAGCAACTACTACAAACTGAGATGTTTTTCCTCCTTTATAAGATTTTAAAATCACGCGCTAGAATTTTCCGTACTTTCTCGAATCAAAAGAGATTATTTATATTTACGCACGCGCTCTTGTATTTTAATTTTCCTGCTTAGCTTTCTTTTAATATTCGTCACGCGCTGCACTGCGCGAGAAATAAAACCATTTAATTTATAATTGAACTAACATTAGCTTTTTAAATACCAAATTCGTAACATATTTTTTCTAAAAGTAGTTACAAATTTCCTTTAGCATAGGAAGCTAAAAAAATATCCAGCCCTGAAGCATGCATAGCTTTACATTATTTGAACGTTAATTATGCTGATAAATATGCTTTTTTAAAAATCAATCTCAATTTAAAAATAAAAATGTAGAAGTTCTGATTGTGAATGGACGCTAAACCAGCTTTTTCTTAACAATTATACACGTCATAGGCACCACTGTTAAATTCTGCAAGTCGTCCCTACTCCTCCGGATGTGATCAAGGTGACAGCCGGGAACGCCTCAGACGAGGGAGAAAACCCATTTGGGATAGTCTATTTCTTATAAGGTCCATGATTGTACAGGATAGATTGGTCGGACAATGATGAATACTGCTAATGAACACCGAAGAATTGGCACTGGTATACATACGAAAACCCAGCTTTTTCTTAACAATTATACACGCTGCAATAGGAACACCGAAGAACCGCAGGTAGTTATTGAAATCACATTTGAAAGGATTATACGCAATAAACATCGGGCAACACATTAACCCAGGGGTCACCAAAGTGGTCTATATAGACCCCTAGAGGTCTATTTAACAACAGTAGGGGTCTCTCTGACCCAAGGGGTCGAATGGGGGTCTATTGGGACTCGAAGGAAAAACAGTTCTTAATACGCAAATCACACATATCTAACTGCGTACGTAAAAATTTAAAATATTTTTATAATTAATATTATATTCTTTATAGAAAATAAAATAATAAATCAGAAAACAATCTGCCCCTTTTTTCCTTATGGGTTTTCGTATGTTAACCGTAAACGTCACAACTTGACCTTGTGACCAGTTTGAGTAGTTTGTAATTAAAATTGACAATACATAAATTTTGGACTAATATAAATATAAAGCAAAAATATGTGAAACTTTACGAAATGGCTCAGCCATTATGCTGGCGTTTCCAAGTTCGTATATGGTTGAAGCCGGTTTCAGTCTCGTTATTCAATTTTAACTAAAACAAAAAAAAAAAAAAAAAAAATCTGAAATGTTTCAGATTTTAAATTACGTCCAAAGGGGCGTTTTTTAACATTTTGTGTGTTACCTTTCTTTATTAAATATCATTTTCCTCGCTAACCATATCTCAATTTTTATGCTAAATCGCAATTTTTATGCTAAACCATAAGATCCAGTGCAACAGCAATATCGCAAAATAGTTTTAAAACGAGCCTATCTTTAGAATTTCCGATACAGAGACTCACGCGCTGGAGATAAAAATGTTTTTTCTGCATAACGTTGCCATTGCTCGCTTTGAAATCCTTGAGTTTGTTAATCAAAAATTCGTCAAAGTTTTAAAAAATAGGAAATCGATCATAAAACAAATTTCAAATTTGGTCTTCCACATGCTCATATTCGTTGAAGGATTACGTTATTCAAATTCGGATACTCTATGTACCGTTATTTTATGACAATGTGAGAAATATACATACATTTACGCAGATTTTCATTATTTAATTTCTTCAAATATAATGCAGGACTCTAACATTTTGTGGCAACAGTTTGAAAAGTGAACCGACATTTATGAGTCCGACGCAAAACGAAACTAATAGCCAAAACGAAACTAATAGTCCTTCGGGATTCAAATCCCTTTGGACTAATAAATTAAATGTGGAGCTTCGAGGGGATTTACGGTTAAAATTGACTAATTTCGAACCCAATATAGCGAACCTTGCCAAGAAACACCAGGCACACTCATCTCATTAAGAAGTAAAAAAATCTGTAGCTACTTTACTACTTACTGTTTCTGATTTATTAAATATTTAGACTAATATATAGTTTTATTTTAATTACCTGAAAATTACCTTTGTGGGGGGTCTATGGAGATTTCGAAAAATTATATAGGGGGCGATGATCAAAAACGTTTGGCGACCCCTGCATTAACCTATGAAAAACCTATTATAGAACCATTAACATATAAAAGGTCAGCAAAATACGTGATAGAAACCATAACAGCAAAAAGTAAAGTACAAAACTGAACAAAGCATTTAATTGTTACCTTGTAATGATCCATAAATCTGGATCAGAGATGCAGCCACGGCCAGGAACAAAAGCGAACGATGCATCATGACGGACAAGACTCAGAAAAGTGTCGCGAAGAGACAATTTCCCTAATGGTCTTCAAAGCCAACCCCAGCAATCATAAGTTTATGTTAACAAGGGTTCATAGGTCAAGAATTTTTCTGATAGCTAAGAAAGGAAGTACTTAAGAAATTATACGTTGGGGTCAAATGATTGATCATATCTACGATACGGATACCGGGAAAAGGGTAGATAACAGATAGTTAAATCAACCTTATTTTTAACTGCCCTTTTCTCAATGATCGCACTTTCTGAACCTTTTATGGTCAAAATTGTAGGTTTAAGGAGTGTTTATTAGCTTAAGAAACGTTGTTATAATCGTACGCGGTAAGAAAAATTACGAAATTAATTCTCTGAAAAGACTAATCTTAATTCTTTCAATATTCGGGATTTAGAAGTGCATGTACAAATTTTCTCCGAATTTTAACTTTTTACTTCCTTGTACGAAGTAAAGGAAGTACTATAATCACGAAAAATTCCGGATACCATACATCAACGAAAATATCCATTTTATCAGCTATCGAAAGCAATTTAACGATATTTTTGCATATACGTAAGGACGTAAGGATAGAATAAAGGACTCTTTTTCCCAAAACCAATTATAAAACTGATTCAAAATGGATTCAGAAGAGACTTTTCATAGCATCTGAACGTACGTATGTATGTATCTCGCATAACTCAAAAACAAGTAGCCTCAGAACGTTGAAATTTTGTACGCAGAACTGCTACAACATGTAGTTGGCATCTCATATATATAGATATATATATATATATATAAATAAAATTCCATAGTCAAGAAACACTTAAATTCTAACTGTATGTTCTTTTCATTTTTAATGCGACTTTCTCTTATTTGAAATACGTGGAATTAATCCACAGCCCCGTAGTCAGTTGTTTTTTCCCGCCTTTTCTACACGTACGTTAAGATGTTCTGGAAATATTTAAAGCGAACTAGATGGGCTGACGACTGACGTCATTTCTCTGAAGCTCCGCCCTTTCCAGAGGCTACAAAGGACTCGCAAAGGAATACCGGGGCTTTTTCTTAAATGTCACGATGCAGTAACTTCATACAAAATGTTATTAGTAATTCTTTTTATTTCCGGATAACGGAATTTGGTAACTGCTGTTTCTCCTGAATAATAATAATGGATCCTGTTTTTTTTTTAAAACTTATCGCTGATATTTAAGCTACGACTAATGCTGGTACATCATATATATATATATATATACATAGCCACTCTGTAACTCTGCTCCGTCAGCTCAGTGTTTTTATTCTTATATGTTGGTAAATTGTGCATTTTTTGCTTTAAAAATGATTGAACTATGTTGTTCATCTTCCGGTTAGGGTTTTTATGCCTTTAGTTAATCTACATGCAATAGTTGTAAAATTATCAAAATTTAAAAATTATTTAAGTGCGGCTAAGCCCAAATTTTTTTACCATAGCAGCCATATTTATCTACATTTGAAATTTAACAGAATAGTGAATTGGTTCTTTCTGCACCTTCAGTGTCTTTTTGCCGAGTGAGACAGCAAGGAAATTTTAAGTTTTGAGCACCGAAAAACTGCCTTCTTGCCTGCTGGCCGAATGTCTTGTTTTTCTGTAAGAAAGTTCCGTTTCCAAACGGAACTTTCTTACAGAAAATGAAATTTTAGAAATGAATTTACATGGTTCTAACTGTCTAGAAGCTTGAATTACAGCTCTTCAGATCTTATTAAACTTCCAAGAGAGTTATTACAATGGTCTTAGTGTCCCGTGAAGCTTAAAATAACCTGTCTTTTTTACTAACTCGAAAAGGTATTTTCTCCTTATTTTCCGCATGCCTTCTTTGTGTAATTGGACGCTGTTGGTTGTGCATTAGCACTGAAGGCGTAATGAGTAAGTTTCCTCAAGCACAGTTTTCATTAAAGAATTATAAGTCAAAAAAGATTAACTACGAAATCTTTATTTAATAAAATAGAATAATTTTGCTTAACTTAAGCATAACAAAAAGTAATAATCTTCACGGACATTAAAACACTGAAGTATTGAAAAGAATAACTTACAAAGAATCATCATCAATATCAGGCTTACCTATTTTAGGCAATAAGAAAAAAGAAACAGGAACATACTTCGACATAGTACCTGAAAAGATAAAGCAATAACTGATTTAGACCTTTGACTCAGGTGCAAAATAGCTTATAAGGTGAGACTCGAATGCACTCCACGTAGCTAAGGTGAAAGTCAAATATACTGCATTGCACACGAACTTTACTTTCTCTCGCCAATATATATCTCGTCGCACGTTCGTTTCGTATGCCTTTCGAGTTTCATTATGCAAAATGCCTAAATTTATGCTAACAGAAGCCCTCTGGACGGGCATTGGGGAAGTCCAAAATTCGAATCCCGGCTAGGGCATTCTGTTTTCTTCATTTTCCTGACATCGAAAAAATTCTAAAACACTGTAGCGACCGAATTAAAAAGTGGTGGATGATATTTCTCCACTTCCAGGATTTGTCGACTGGGTCTCTGAATCCCCAGTCGCCCTTTTAAAGGAGGAGTATTTTCTCCCTCCTCTCCGCTTGCCTTCGTAATTGTAACGGGAAGCACACGTACTTAGGAAGACCAAAGTTTAAATCCCGGGGAGCGCATTTTTAAGTGCACATCTGTATCGTCACCGAGAAAGTGGCTTCTAGAATGCACCAATTGGCTTCCAGTAATATCCTGTCATTTTGACCTATGCCGCGTTGTAAGCAAGGTGGTTGAAAATGCTTTGATATAATTTCCTGTACAAAATAATTAAAACAATCGTGGATTCCTTGTCGAAATTTTCAGTGCCAAGTTAGATCAAATATGAACATAATTATATATGTAAATAGTAGAAGTCTTAGCATTATTTATTGCAGTCTGTATGAAAAACATGTTCTATAATAATAGAAAGTGCACAGTTTCGTTCAAAGCGAACTTCCCTAATTTTCATTCCTACACATTTAGTGTATTAAATTTCACAATAGCTGTTCACTTTTAAGGTATTTCTCCCGCCTTCTTAGCATGCTTTCGTGGTGTGGTGGTCAGCACACTCGGCGCGCATTCTAGAGGTCTGTGGTTCGAGTCTTGGCGAGGGCATTGCTCATTTTTCATCTCTCCTGCTTCAAAATAACTTAACAGTGGCGCCCGAACTAAAAAAAGAGGGTGGATGATGATTCTTCACCACTGGGGTTTGGCGAATGGGTCGTCTAATCCACAGTCCGCCTTTTAAAGGGGGAGTATATAAGGTATTTCTCCCGCCTTCTTAGCATACCTTCGAGGTATAGTGGTCTGCATGCTGGGCGCGTATGCGAGAGGTTCGAGGTTCGAGTTCTCGCGAGGGCACTGCTCATTTTTCCCATCTCCTGCTTCGAAAAAATTCTAATGACTCTACACACTGTTAAGTGTATTGCCTGCAAAAGAAATACCCTTCAAACAGAATGAATTTGTCTTACTCACAACGAATATATTTAAGTTACTCATGAATTACTTTGAATGTTAACAATTGGTGTAATCAGATTATTCACAATACACATTCTGAATCTTACACTTTCAAAGTCAAAGGAATGCAATCATTGATATAAGAGAATACTAGATTAATTTTAACGCTTGCAGTTATTCTCGGCTCAATAAAAAAAAAATTATACGTTCGAATTCCCTTAATCCACAGGCGTTAGTAAAAGCATAATATCCGAGGCTAATTGTAGCTTGAGTCATTTTCTCGATACAAAGAGCGATAATGTGCAACGAATATTAATCTGACTATCATCGCGTGATAAGTATCGCGAAGTAAGTGAAATATTGACGTTTAAATAAACTTATAAAATGAAAGCCCTACTAGATTTTCGATCAAAATGATAGCGGCATTTATACGTCATAGGTTTATAAGTGCGAAATAAATGCAAAATAAAACGTAAATAACAACATGCTCTCATATGCACAGTTTGAAAGATTCAGCGTCACAAGAGCAATAAAACCAGCCTCATTGGTCCATTTTTGAAACCCCCGCCCTCAGTGGCGATACTGATGTGCACTTGTGAATTGTGCTCCCAGCGAGGGCATTCCACGTTATTCTTTAAATAACTAGTGCAGTTATGACGGTTATGGAAGGAAAATACTATCATTTGCATACATTTTTTTTTCCCCTAATATCATCATAGCTAAATCTAATCAAATGGCAGTTTCAGTCTCTCTCTTATGGGGTTCCACCCCTTTTATATAACAACTGAATGGGGAGAAACCTAGTGAACAGCCAAGCGAACATTCTGTTTAGTTTAGCAACAGAAACGTAAACTCGAGAAGGGTTAATTTCTCTTTACTGCTCAAAATAAGAGTTTAACATATGGCCCCTTTCTCAGGGCGTACAGCAAAGCCCGCACTTGAGCTTGAATGCAAAATAATAAAAAATCTGATGTGTACACCACATGACTTCCTTGTACGGAATATTAAATTATACGCATTTTTTCTTGCATTTTATTTAAACTTATTAGATTGAATTAAATCTACTTCGCCGACAGCGCATAAACCACAATGGAATAAATGCATTCTTTAAAATTCACTTTATTTACCATAGCGACACTCTGGCGCTAAGTTTACATATTTCGTTCATATTATAACTCAGAATGCACAAAAAGTATATTTTTAAAGAATTATCTAATCGTTGCCACATGTTCTATTCATATATAATTAAGCTATACGATGTTAAAAAAATTAAGCAAAAAAACAAAAGAAACAGTTTTTCACAGACGATTGAGTATTTCTCATTTAATTAATTCAGTTCTTACTTCGCGAGAGCAAAATACATAAAAACTCAAAATCTATATTAACAATTACGAAGTAAATTTCAAACGCTTATTTCCTCGAAAAAAATTCCAGAAAGAATTAAGCATGATTTAATTGGCAATAAAATGAATGCTTATCTTTGTTGTTGCGAACTAAGTTTCTCTAGATGGCAACAAATCCTAGTCTCCTGTTTCAATGTAAACATAATGGCGCCATTAAAAAAAGGCTTAGCGGCAATAAACAACTTTAAATTGCTGATAATTCTAAAATATTGCACACAGATTTACTAAAGGCATAAATTCTCTTAACCGGAAGATAAAAACAACATAATTCAATCATTTTAAAAAAAATGACAATTTACAAACATATAGAGTAAAGAAACTGAGATCACTATGCCGGTAATGAGTGGATATATATATAAATATAGTTTAATACGTTTGGTGCGGCCGATTGCAACCAAATACGAGGTGCACATCTACATGAATAGCAGTCCTATATACAAATTTCAACTTTCGAGGCTACTCGTTTTCGAGTTATCGTACGCACGTACGTACATACGTTTCGTACAGACGCCACGAAAAAGTCTCTTCAGAATTGATTTTAAAGCAGTTTTATTAATTTTTCTTGGAGGAAACGAGTATTTATTCTGTCCTTACGTACAGATAACACGCAAAAACATCGTTAAATTGCATTCGATAGCGGTCAAAATGGATATTTTCGTTGAAATATGCTGCCTGAAACTTTTCGCGATTACAATACTTCCTTTTTACTTCGTACAAGGAATTAAAAATGAGACTTATTTAATGCGTAACTAAAACGATATAGCCGAAGCTATCAAAATTCTAAGTAGCTTGCCTCTAAATATTGAATAAGCTAGTGAAGCTATCAAGAGCCTGTAATACGGCCAAGCGTAGTATCAGCTTAGTAGAGTAGTTTGCTAGAAGGCAAATCACTCTTCCGATCAGCGCACTAGTCAGAAACTCTGAGGCTCTCTTTCGAAGTCAGTGAAAATCAGTCAGTGGAGTCAGTGTTAGAACAGTGCTGTATATAAATCTAATATATATCCTAAGTCGCCCTTTCGAGACATAAAAAATGCAATTTGAATTTTGTCAATCGACCCAGGAAAACAGGAGATATAGAACAACCCCTTTTTTTTTCGCACAGTTCACGTATATATGCCGTATAACTCAAAAACGATTAGCCGTGTAATGTCAAAATTGTGCATACGGGACTGCTATAACATCTACTTGGGCGCCTCCCTTTTTTTTTTAACCCAATCTGCCGTACCAGAAGTACATTTATATATATGTTACCCTGAAAGACAGAAATTGGAGAATGTCGACTTTCACCGGAGAATGTCAACATTCACCAAATACGTCGGTGAAAGATCGAATATTTCTTTACATTGCTGTGATTGTAGGTCGAAACGAGAGGAGTATATGTACACGCTGCCATTCCAAAAGGAAGAGTTCCACAAATAAATACAGTTGTAAAAGCAAGGGCCTCTTGTGCAATTCAAAGTGTCATAATAGTTTAAGTCGTTGCAATAAATAAGATTTGAATCACATAATTTGGTAAGTTATAACTTCTATTATTTTCTTTCTCATTTTTAATGTACTGTGTGTTTTAAGTTCTTATATTCTTAAGTTCTTATTCTGAGTCTCAAGTTCGTTTTTTCGCGAATGAATTACGGAGAAGGAAATATAATATTGTTATATGTTCAACATTCACCATTAGTACATGGTGAATGTCGACATTCACCGGTGTAAGTCAGAAATAAGAGTATTTGGAAAATATTTCGGACATACACCAAGAGACTATATGAATGTTGGCATTCACCGGTGAAAGTTGATATTCTCCAGATTTCGGTGTTTCACCGTAACATATACAATCATCACCCTTACCTTTATTTTTGCAATCTTTGGCCATAGTCGTATACTTCCAGTTACAGGAGTGTTTTAAATGAAAAAAGTATTCATGTTTTTGCAATGTCAAATTTAAAAAAAATTAATTTTGGACAAATAATGGAATTTTACTTTGAATGCGGCCGCCTTCCGGGTCCTATATTTACAGCTGGGAAAGACCCGAACAACAATAACAACCAGCAAGGAAACACTTACTTTTAGGGGTTGGGGCAGTCGTTTGGTTCTTAGTATGCACCTCGTGATGATGGTGACGATGGTGGTGATCATCATTCCTCATCTGTAAGGGGTCACGAGTAGAACTTCTGCTTCTGGATTGATTGTGGCTATGATGATTGTGGTGTGACTGGTGCCGAGTTGCTACTATCGCTGGTTCAGTCACCGGTTCTGCTAACGGTTGTGAGAATTGTTGATGCTCGCCGTTTTCATCAGAATCTCTAAAAAGTATTTTTCACATGAAAAATCGTGTAAGTTTTCTATACAGAGTCTGTTTGCAGATTTGTTTCAGACGATTTTCATTGCATTTACAGAAATATTTTACCTAAAAGTTTTATTTTTTAAATGTTCTATTTGGTAACTCTTATTCTTCACTGCCTTTCTACACCGTAATTTCCAAGACATACCTTTTGTAGTATCGGTATTTAAGAGGAATGGTATTTTATACTATTTCTTTTGAACAGCTTTCCAAAGTCCAAGACGTGTTACCGGTCGGTGTTACAATCCGCTTTTTAAAAGAACAAAAACGCAAACATCCATGAGTTAGTTATCGGGTGATTTAGTAGGGTTATGAGTGTGTGGAGATGCGCGCCTCCAACTTGCACGCAACCAAGAGGTGACTGTTGAAACTGGAAAATAGACAGAGTCTTGCTAAGGGTTTAAGTCCCTTTTTATTCAACTTAAGAAAATTACAATTGCGTGCTCTTGACGCTCACAAACCACTACGGCCGACCCGGCGGTAAAATAAAAATAAGAACCTGAAAAGAAAATATATAACAAGACTCTAACTACGAGGCTCTCTAAACGTAACTAACCTCACCGCGTTTTACATACCGCTGCTATTCAGCAAACTTGAATATCACGTTGAACGATTAACAATTCTCCGAGGCAAGCACACAGGCCGAAACGCGGGGTTCTTCAATTTCTGGCTAACTACCTCCGCGCTCGTGAAGTAAGAACAGCACATTTCGAACTCGTTTCCTCTTTATTTAACAGAATACTTCTGCTGATAATTTGAATCCTTGCGCGTTCTACTAAAATTTACATACTCTGGCATTGGCAGTTCCAGGGGAAAGTAAGGCTTGACAGGAAAGATAGTTTAAACTTAAAATAGATGTTAGTTAAAATAAATATAAACCCTACAAGTGAAAGGTTACCTTGATAACCGTTTCTTGCTCCATTTTTAACTTCCTTCTACTAAGCAAAGGAAATACTGTAATTGTGAAAGTTTTCGGGTTTCATATTTCAAAGAAAATATTGTTACAAAATGTAAAGGCGCGGTAGGATAGCTTCCCCGCAAAGCAGTTTTAGGGTTGCCATAAAATGGCAAAGGAGGGCAGGGTTGCAACATTTGGCAATAAATCGCCCATTTGGCGACAAAATCGACGATATACCATGGACGTTTGGAGAACCTTCTGGAACGAATTCCTACCGGTTTAGCCCAGAATGTTCTCGAACACAAGCCGAAAGCTATATAAACCCTGCTGGTCCGCAGTCAGTCAGTGTGCTTTATCGAGAGGGAGAGTGTGCATCTCTCATCGAGTGTGTGTGCCTCGTCTAGCGAGCTGTTAGTCACTGAGCGAGTGTCTCGAAGTCTAGTGCCGAGTTGGTCGTCGAGTGCATCGAGAGTGTCATTTAGTGCATCGCAAATTAGTGCATCGTCGAGTTTTGTGTTAGACTGTAAAGGGATTTTGGAGCTCTCTTGATTAGTACTGGCTAAATAAAGTGTTTTTTGATACTTCATCAAGTGTCGTCGTTATTCACTCCAAATCTACGAACCCCGTACGAACGTCAAGGAAGTAAATAACGCAACAACTGGTGTCAAAAGCAGAAAAGAGAAAAATGCAACAATATTCATTTTGAACGCTATCGAATGAAATTTAACGATGTTTTCGCGTGATATTTGTACGTAAGGCGCAGAATAAAAGACCCTTTGTCTCAAAACGGATTGCAGAAAGGGTTTAAAATGGATTCAGAAGAGTTTTTTTTTTTTTTTTTTTTTTTTTTTTTTTTTGCGATGTCTGTACTGTTGATGTTTATCATAAAATTCGATAAAATAATCGCTTATTATCCTGAGGTAACATTATTCTGATAAAAATCTGTCATTAAAGATTTTATATCATATCGAAACTGAAAGCTGTTTAGTCTTTCCAAACCCATACCTCTATCTTCTACACTACCTAAAGCTGCCGCTATCAGGCATTCCATTTCATTATGCTAAACACAGTGGCTCCTTGTATCCATAATATTTCTTTATATCCGATTTATATACATTTCGAAGTTTGTTTTAGCTGTATAAAATAATATTAAACGCGTAAGAAGTTAAGAGGCCAAGAGATTCTTTCGTTACATCCAAAATTTCGTTATAAGGCGAGTTTGTTACAGCGGGATTCGATTGTCCACAGAAACGAACCATAATCTTTATTTCTCTTAATAAACAAGACACTGGAACTGATACGTAACCAATTTATTTGAAAGATAATTATAAGGGTTATTCAAATGAGAAGCTACGAAACGTCATAACAAATAAACCGCTGTAAATCTGGATATGCCGCTTCAGCATAACGTAGTGACACACCTAAGGACGCGAATGTAGTGTCTGGCATTGTTGTGCGCATGCGCGAGTGCTCTTCCATGACGCAAGAGAGAAGTAGGCAGTTGTGTGTTCCGTCCACTTCAGTGCCTGTGAGGACCTCATGGCATCCACATTGCAAAATCTGGCGAACGAAGAGCAGCGAAGTGTTATCAGATTTCTGACTGTGAAAGGGGTTAAACCAGTCGCTATTCATAGCCGGCTGGTGGCCATATACGGGGAGACTGTGCGTCCGAAACGTCAGTGATAAACTGGAGTTCCAGTTTCCGCGAAGGCCTGGAGTGTTTGAGTAATGCCCCGAAACCAGGCCATGCAAACATGGTAATCATGGCCGAACTCATCGACAAGGTAAACAACCTAGTGAGAAGTGACATCTCAGAGGGAAGCGCCTCAACTCGGACGACGAACTGAAGGACACAGTGGAGGACTGTCTCTTGTCGTCACGGCAACCGGAATTCTGGAGAGAGGGAGTCCTTCTGCTCGTGAAACAGTGGTATATTTCTGCTCAGCCCTCTGGTGATTGATTACCTATGAATAAAGACTTCAATATATCCATAGTGTCGTTTCGTACCTTTTCATTTGAATACCCCTTATTTTATCCCCCTCAAGTCTTGCAGGTCGCCTCAAAAAGTGTGCTCTTAGCCGGCGAAGGGGTGTACCTGGACGGAATAGGGTAAGGAGAGGTGAAGGACTGTCTTGTCACGGCTGCAGGAATCCTGGGAAGAGGGAATCCTTCGGCTCGTGGAACAGTGGGATAGTTGTGGTCAGGCCTCTGGTGGTTGCTTGTGAATAAAGACTTCAATATATCCATTGTGTTGTTTCGTACCTTTTCATTTAAACACCCCTTATTTTATCCCCCTCAAGTCCTGCAGGTCACCTCAAAGTGTGCTCTTAGCTGGCGAGGGGGTGTGTACCTGGGCGGAGTGGGCGCAGTGGAGGACTGTCTCTTGTCACGGCTACAGGAATCCCGGGAAGAGGGAATCCTTCGGCTCGTGGAACAGTGGGATAGTTGTGGTCAGGCCTCTGGTGGTTGCTTGTGAATAAAGACCTTCAATATATCCATTGTGTTGTTTCGTACCTTTTCATTTAAACACCCTTATTTTATCCCCCTCAAGTCCTGCAGGTCACCTCAAAGTGTGCTCTTAGCTGGCGAGGGGGTGTGTACCTGGGCGGAGTGGGCGCAGTGGAGGACTGTCTCTTGTCACGGCTACAGGAATCCCGGGAAGAGGGAATCCTTCGGCTCGTAGAACAGTGGGATAGTTGTGGTCAGGCCTCTGGTGGTTGCTTGTGAATAAAGACCTTCAATATATCCATTGTGTTGTTTCGTACCTTTTCATTTAAACACCCCTTATTTTATCCCCCTCAAGTCCTGCAGGTCACCTCAAAGTGTGCTCTTAGCTGGCGAGGGGGTGTGTACCTGGGCGGAGTGGGCGCAGTGGAGGACTGTCTCTTGTCACGGCTACAGGAATCCCGGGAAGAGGGAATCCTTCGGCTCGTGGAACAGTGGGATAGTTGTGGTCAGGCCTCTGGTGGTTGCTTGTGAATAAAGACCTTCAATATATCCATTGTGTTGTTTCGTACCTTTTCATTTAAACACCCCTTATTTTATTCCCCTCAAGTCCTGCAGGTCACCTCAAAGTGTGCTCTTAGCCGGCGAGGGGGTGTACCAGGGCGGAATGGGCGAAGTACGACGGGAGAATAATGTCATGGAAGTGTCATTCAAGCTGTGAAGACCGTTCCATAATGTTCACCTAAGGCTGCAGGCAAAAGAGCATAGACAGACTTCTACCCTTGGACTTTGCACAGAGGGTTTCAGTCCTTTTGACCAACAGAAGTTCCTCACTTCCTTCTATATATGACAGATCTTTCGAGGATAAGCACAACAACAACACCCCTTACATTATTTGTTTAACACCAGTAATATACACTCTAAAGTAAGTAATATACATTCTAAAATTATTCTGTTATAATCTTATTCTATTATTATCTATTCTAAACTGTACTAAAATAAAGACGAAAGTAGAAACGGTTTTACTTGTGATCATGATGATGATGATGATCACCGCCCTGAGCATGAGCAGCTGCAGCATTCCCAGTACCACTGTGAGAATGAGACTCGTGGTAATGCTGTTCACCGCTGTGAGTATGCTGTTCGTCGCTGTGGGAATGCTGTTCGCCGCTGTGAGAATGCTGTTGGTTGTTGTGGGAATGTTGTTCATCGCTGTGGGAATGCTGTTCGCCACTATGGGAATACGACTCTCCACTGTGGGAATGATATTCTCCACTATGAAAGTGAGGCTCCCCACTGTGGTAGTGGTGCTGTCCACCATGCGAATGCTGTTCACCACCGTGATGGTGATGATCAATGTGGGAAGTGTATTCTCCATGCCATCCTCCGTGATCTAATAAAATAAAAAAAAAATAAAAATAAATAAATCGCTCAAAAAAAAAGTATTGAAGCACAGTATATCCAGCCACTTTGGAATTCGTTATTAAATCGAAAAAGGAAACCTTGTAATTATATTTGTTACTGCAATATGAGCGTGATTCAAAATTGAAAACGTAAGATAATACCATTTACATACACCAGACTTTTGCATCCAATAGTGTATCCGTCTTCTTTTTACTTCCTTGTACGAAGTAAAAAGGAAGTATTGTTATCGCGAAAAGTTTCAGGCAGCATATTTCAAAGAAAATATCCATTTTGACTGTTATCGAATGCAATTTAACGATGTTTTTGCGTGATATCTGTACGTAAGGACAGAAAATAAAAGACTCGTTTCCTCCAAGAAAATGATAACACTGCTTTAAAATCCATTCTGAAGAGAATTTTTCGTCGCGTCTGTATGAACGTATGTACGTACGTGCGTACGTACGTATCTCGCATAACTCGAAAACGAGTAGCCTCAGAACGTTGAAATTTTGTATATAGGACTGCTATAACATGTAGATGTGCACCTCGTATTTGGGTTGCAATCGGCCGCACCAAACGTATATTAATACTATATTTATATATATATCCACTCCGTTACTCGGCACAGTGATCTCAGTTTCTTTACTCTTATATGTTTGTAAATTGTACATTTTTTGCTTTAAAAATGATTGAATTATGTTGTTCTTATCTTCCGATTAAGGTTTTTATGCCTTTCGTAATTCTGGAGCAATATTTGTACAATTATCAACAATTTAAAAGCTGTTTAAGTGCGGTTAAGTTTTAAATAACATGGCGGACATATTTGTTTACATTTGAAACCGCAGAATTGTAGATTTGTTGCCAATCTAGAGAGACTAAGCTTCGCAGCAACAAAAATAAAGCCTTCATTTATTATTGCGAATTAAATCATGCTTAATCCTTTCTGTAATTTTTTCGAGAATATAAGTGTTTAAGATTTACTTCGTAATTTTTAATACATATATTTTGAGTTTTTATGTATTTTTGCCTTGTCGCGAAGTGAGAACTGAATTAATTGAATGAGAAATACTGAATCGTCTGTGAAAATATGTTTCTTTTCTGTTTTATTTATCTAATTTCTTTCATACATCGTTCTAGCTTTATTATAGTATTTGAATAGAACATGTGGCAACGATAAGATAATTCTTCAAATGATATAAATTTTGTGCATTCAGAGTGTCATTATAGTAAACAAATATAGTGAATTTTAAAGAGTGCATTTATTCTATTGTGGATTATGCGCTGTCGACGAAGTAGATTTAATTCAATCCAATCAATTTAAATGAAATTTTTAAAAAAATGCTTTGTAGGGTTTATGTTTATTTTAACTAACATTTATTTTAAGTTTAAACTATCTTTCCTGTCAAGCCTTACTTTTCCCTGGAACTGCCAATGCCAGAGTATGTAAATTTTTAGTAGAACGCGCAAGGATTCAAATTATCAGCAGAAGTATTCTGAGTTAAATAGAAAGGAAACGAGTTCGAAGTGTGCTTTTCTTACTTCACGAGCGCGGAGGTAGTTAGTCAAAAATTGAAGAACCACGCGTTTCGGCCTGTGTGCTTGCCTCGGAGAATTGTTAATCTTTCAACGTGACATTCAGAGTTTGCTGAATTAGCAGCGGTATTGTAGAACGCGGTGAGGTCAGTTACGTTTAGAGAGCCTCGTAGTTAGAATCTTGTTATTATTTCTTTTCAGGTTCTTATTTTTATTTTACCGCCGGGTCGGCGTAGTTTGTGAGCGTCAAGAGCACGCAATTGTAATTTCTTAAGTTGAATAAAAAGGGACTTAAACCCTTCGCAAGACTCTGTCTAATTTCCAGTTTCAGCAGTCACCACTTTGTTGCGTGCAGGTTGGAGGCGCGCAGCTCTACAACGTATAATTTAATATTCCGTACAAGGAAGTCATGTGGTGTCCACATCAGATTTTTTAGTCATGGTAACTCGTTCGCAGTGCGTATGTACAGTAAATTTTGAACTCTGTGTATAATCAGTTTATTTCATTTTCTCAATCTCATTGTTGTCAAATACACATGCCACCTTCTCATGCATAAAAGCCACACGTATGTATCAGCCGCATTCTTAATTTTCCCCTCCACTTAAAAAAACAAATTCCCAGCATAAGCCCCGGGAATAGTCTGTCTTACAATCTACAATATTTTTTTTTTGGAAGGTGTGAAGGCAGATAAAATGAAAACAACACTTACTACACACTGAGACAAAATTAGCAGTATTGTCTTTATGACTAGAAAATTTGCCTGCAGTACCAGTATCACTATTTCTGCTCCCGGTATTCCACAGCATGTCATTCTCAGAGCCGTCTAGATGGATATACTAAAAGTCGAAAATCCTTTAACGATTGTTTCACACTTTATATTCTCCCAGACTGCTAGACTCCGTTCAAACGTACGCTGTATACTTGGGCATTTGATTTCCCTTTTGACGTACGGTCACAGTTTCGTATACTTGTTCAATCACAATTAAACTTGTATAATCTTACGTAGCATTCACCCAAAACAAATGGATATTATACTCAACTAGCGGAAGTTAACGATGCCATTAATGCATCTAACAACAGAGAGAACGATTACCTCTATAATCCTTCTCTAATAACGATGTAAAAAATCTGATGTGTAGTCCACATGACTTCCTTGTACGGAATATTAAATTATACACATTTTTTCTTGCATTTTATTTAAACTGATTGGATTGAATTAAATCTACTTCGCCGACAATAGAAACAACAATAGAATAGATGCATTCTTTAAAATTCACTCTATTTGTTTACCATAACGACACTCTGGCGCTAGGTTCACTTAACAGTATTGTTACGAATTTGGTATTTAAAAAGCTAATGTTAGTTCAATTATAAATTAAATGGTTTTATTTCTCGCGCAGTGCAGCGCGTGACGAATATTAAAAGAAAGCTAAGCCGAAAAATTGAAAATACAAGAGCGCGTGCATTAAATAAATAAATATCTCTTTTTGATTTCGAGAAAGTACTGGAAAGTTCTAGCGCGTGATTTTAAAATCTTATAAAAAGAAGAAAACATCTCAGTTTGTAGTAGTTGCTTAGTTTGTTGTTGTTTAGAAAACTGGTCTTGTTGATTGTAGCGAATTCGCGGATTAGCGTTCTTTAGCTGTTTTGAATTACGTTCTATTGGACATTTGAGTAGTTAAAAGATAACTACTGTGAGATATTGTAATACTGCATGAGAATTTGAGAAAATTTAAGCATTTTTGTTGTGATAATAATAAATTTTTGTTCATTTTTCATCGGACTTGTGCATTCATTTCATAACGAACCCGTACGCACTCAACAATTTTTGGTGTCAGGAGTGGGGTTTGAATGCCAATAACAAGAGGGATGGAAGAACAATTGAGACAGCTCATTACTACTTTTGCTGCTTTCCAAGAAAAGATGGAAGCTGGCCAAACATCTTTTAAAGAAGAAATGAAATTGGGCCAGGAATCCCTCAAGGAAGAAATGAAAACGGCACAGGAACAAATGAAGTTGGGCCAGGAATCCGTTAAGGAAGAGATGAAATCTCTTAAAAATGAGATGAAAGCAGGTCAGGACGAAATAAAAAGAGAAATTACCTGCGTAATAGAAAATAAATTTGAGGCTATGGAAGGCAGAATAGACGCGGTTGAAACTAAAGTTGGACAAATAGAAGAAAGAGTTTCTTCGGTAAAAGAACAAGTAGAAGAAAGAATTTCTTCTGTAAAAGAACATATAGAAGAAAGAGTTTCTGCCGTCGAACAACAAATTGATGATAGGGTTTCTGCTGCCGTCGCCAAAGAAGTTGACAGCCTAAAGAAGTGCATAGCGACGGTAGGAAACAATTCTGAAGGTTTCAAATTTTTATCGATGCCTGCTCGTTCCGTTCTGAAACTATCTACATATGATGGGAAGACCTCCTGGCAGGTGTATAGGACACAATTTTCTATCGTTGCGGATGCGAATGGATGGGATTCCCAAGCTAAGGCCTGTCATCTCGCCGCTTCTCTGAGAGCAGACGCAGCGGATATCCTGCAGACGCTTCCCGAAAATCAAAGGCTAGATTTCGAAGCTCTATCCGGCGCTTTGGAGCTGCGCTTCGGCGAGAAATGTTTAAAAGACTACAGCAGGCTCCAATTAAAATCTCGTCAACAGAAGCTCACCGAAACGCTTCAGGAGCTCGCCACGGATGTTGAAAGGCTGTCACATCACGCCTTTTCGGAGTGCCCGACAGAAACAAGGGAAATCCTGTCCCTGCAATATTTCATCGACGGCATCCGGGACCCTGAAATACAGAAAGCACTGCGAATGGCAGATGTAAAGGATGTAAAAAGCGCTCTGTTGTACGCCGTGAAATGGAGGCAGCCCAGCAAGCAAGTAGTAGAGATCGCTACCCAGTTAAAGCTGTGCGAGTCCATGAGCCAGTGGATCAACTGATGGCTCGTTTAGATGATTTAGCCAGACAAGTCGACGCTTTGATACAAAGTAGGAGCGAGAGGAAAGTGGCTCCAAGGTGTTGGAGATGTGGTAGTGAAGGTCGCCTAAGACGGAATTGCAGAACGCCCCAGGGTACGGAATATAAAGCAGATGATTTTACAAGTCAGTGGCTTGAGACGGAACAGAAGTGAAAAGAAACTAGTTCTAAAGTGCTGGAACTACGGAGTTGAAGGCCACATACGAAGAAACTGCAAAACACTCCGAGGTACGGAAAATAAGACCATTTCCCAGCAACGACGCAGTAAACAAATTAGTGACTATATCGAGGAATGCAGGTTGCCAGATAATGAAAAACCTTGTTTTAAAGCGCTTAAAATTTATACAGTGAGTGGCAACAGTAACGGACTGTCCATTAATGGGAATATCGATGGAGTTCCTTGCAATATGATCATTGACACAGGAGCTAATGTTACCATCATTAGGAAAGATTTAGCTGAACAGTTTAAAGATAAACTT